ATGTTGTGCTTTGTCATATAAGGGTGACATGACTAAGCATCTGCACTGAGGCTGCTAACAACTTTTAGCCTAGGTGGCATAACAGTGACGTGTGGCTGTTACTGAGACATCGATTTCTATGCTATTTATATGTATATAAACACTGTTATAATCAGATTAGCAGAACTCAAGCTGTTCTCAAAAGACCAATGTGTTAATTTTCCGGAAACCATTTTCTATGAAGAAATAGCTAGCAGATCCCATAGATCTGTCTGTTAGCCCATCAGGCTATTTTGCTGCAAGCAAAATACTTTCCATTTCTAAAAATGTCAGCAGGACTATTTTGATATGGCTGGACTTATCTCAGTAGGCATTTACCAATATAACTTTCTTTAAGTTTTCACAATGGGCTTTTTTTTTCTCTTCATTCATTCCTGCCATGCCTTTTCTTTCATGTTTTCAATCCTGGAATACTTAAATGGTTATGCACCTTAACTACTGGCAAGGGCTTCAATTTATTTTTCAAATGGTATTGATAGTCTCTCCTGTGGTTTTAAACACATTGCCTAAAGTGTCATAAAAATAATTGCAGTTTCTGAAAAAATGTTCTTTATTTTTGAACAAAATATCTACATTGACATGGGTAACGCCATAAATTTCACATATTTTAAGACTTCTGTCTGCAGAGAATGTCAGTTTAAGCGCAATATGATACTATAATACAATAAAAAGAACTTTAATCAAATCCATGCATAACACATTAATAGTTTTACCAAAAAGGAAGTATTTGAGATGAAATTGCCATTGGATGTTACTAGACAGAATTCACAGGAGAATATGTTTAAAACTCACAGACAAGTTATTAATACACTATATATATTTTTCCCTTTATTTTTTTCTGTATCCTTTAAAATTTTGGGATCACTAGCACACAAAATATGTATATAATGTTAAAACTTTATGGCAAAAGCTTATGGCACAGTTTTTTTTCTTTTTCTTTTTTTTTTTTTTTTTGAATACAGCTCACAATTACACATTCCTGGAACATCAGTAACTTTTTCAGTCCACTTTATCCATTAACATCACTCTGTTATGCAACAAAATATAAACATAATAAATGTTTATTGCATATTTCACAAAGATAAAAGTGAAGAAGTGCAGTAATATTCAAGAATGTCAAGAATACAGTATGAGCCAACAATTTTCTGGCATTTAACCCACTGCTTCTAGCAATCTAACCTGCTTCCACAAGCCTTCCAAACTGATAATATTTCAGTAACTACTGTAGGTGATGCATGTTGCCTGAAGGCACGTTTTCCATAACCACTTACAAATAAAACACCCATTTTATTATTAACAAGTAGCTTAGTTTGTGATTTATATCTTTTTCTTATTAGTTTTCTCAAAAAGGAAAAAATTATGATGATTTGATAGTACTGATTGTATAGTAAGATGTGGAAAAAGTTATTTCATAACCTTCCAGGGGGTACTTTGAAAATTAATAGCTCACTCAGCAGTTTCACAGTATAAGGCCAAATTCTGCTCTGTTGGATTGCATTAATTCCTATGAAAGCTCAAAGGAGAGCAGAAATTACACTTAAAATATATCTACTTTTTGCAACCAAACATCTCAGCTTGGGCTGGGTACTGTATAGATAAGTCCGTTTCCATCTAATATAAAATTATTGCTAAAAATAATAAATGTAATCTTTTTTAAGGATAAAGGAAGACTTTCCCTCCTATCAAAAATATAAGTTTTTGTACAATTTATCTTATCTACATTAGCAACCTACAGTTCTCTAATGGGTTATAGTACAAAGTGGAAGAAATACCTAATTTCTTTAATGTAAAGTGCACAGCTAAATCACCTAAATATAATACTTTCTAGTGGTTAAAGAGAATCACCTCTCACAGATCACAGCAGATTTGTTATAGAGAAGTCTATAAAAAGTTTATGGAACCAACTCTAATAAAGAGAATGGAAAGAAAAGTAATATATTATTAAACTGAAAATGATAATTAAATCCTGTATTCTTCCTGCATTCCTCTAACCTAATTAAGTAGTAGTACTTGCTGTCAAAATTATTTAAAAAGAATATGTACTTCATTTAAAAATTGCTAAATTCCAAATAGTATAACACTATTATTTCTTCTTTCCTTTCTCCCTCAATGCCCCTCTAATTTATCAACATTACTGAGAAAAAAAGACAACCCTTTAACTTTATTTCTCTGATATTTGCATATGGTCTTAAAAATAAGATGCATTTTCCTATGTGGAATTTAAGCAGGAATTTGGTAGTCGAATATATCCACTGCACCTCTGAGTGACATTTCTTATCCTTTTGAGGACCTGAAGCTTTTGGCTTTACTGAGGCAAGCATGGTTTTGGTCACATATCTCTAGTCAGTAATCTCAACTGGTATTTCTGTCTTTCTCTACTAAGTGACTTCATCCTAAGTCATTTAGGAATAATCTAAATGAAGTTTAAATCTATTTTGGTATACCCAGTATTCAGTATATCGCAGAGGCTTCCACTCTGTTGGCAAATGTTATGTTTTCTGTTAAAAAAATTAGGGGAGAGTTCTTGGTTACATTACATCGAAATTGAAAATCTGTATTTAACTGAGGGCAGCAGATTACATGCCAAATGTATTTACATTTGAAAACATCATTATGGAACCATTTTTCATTTCTCCCCTATTTGAAATACTTTTCTTACTAATATATTACTTAAAATAAAGTTCAGTAATGCTGTAGAGCTTTTATGCTATAAAAATATTTAAATCTCTTTACTTTTGATATGCCTTCTTAGAAAACTGAGCACTATGTGTAAGTTTTCTGCTTTGCTTCCCAATGTAATGGCTAGAAAGCAGAATAACTAGGAGTTAGAAAACAGAATTGCTAGCAGTTATTCTGATCTGGTCTTATGCATTTACCACTTCAATTAAGAATTCTTTATTGAAGAGAAGCCAGCTGTTTTGTAGGGAAAGAACTGAGATAAGCCAATTTTTAATATGATTGCTTATAGATTATGAGTCCAGTCCAGTACTTCAAACAGTCCTTAAAAAGATACTTTGACTTGACTGCTGACAAGGATAAATTAATATCCCTTTTTACGTGACACATTTTATGACAATTTTAAGGGAAAAAAAATATAATCCATCTAGTTATGTAAGCTCATGATACATGGATGAGCACCTGTGCTCATAAATAAATGGGATTTTTTATAAATAAATTTATAAATTTATAAATATGAAGAAGTAACATAAAAATATTACTTGAAGTGAATTGAGTTTATGTCAGATCATAAAAGAAGAAAAACTATTAAAAATACTGTTTTAGAATATTATTTTTAAAATAATAGCATTTAAAATGGAGGAGGATTATACATTTTCTGACACAGCTGAATAAAATCTGAGAGCAACTATTTTAACTCTCTAACTAATCCTTGGAGGAAAACAACAACAAATTCAACCAAACCCAAGGTTGCTATGTTATAATCCTCAGTGCAGAGTTACACTGCTTCCATTACTTCATATGCAACATGCCTTTGGCAGTGCACCAGATGTTTGCCTCCAGCTGTATTTTGCTTTTGTATACACATTCTGAGCAATAATGAAGCAAAAATTCAAAACATGTTCAAAACAAAAATATTTTGCAATGAGAAACAGCCTCGTTTACTGGACTTTTACATAATGAATAATTCTAAATATTAGATTTATATCTTAGCATACTGTTGTTTTTCAGTGGACAAAAATGGCAAGACTAAACACCTGTCTACAAGCTATGTCATAAATATGACCTATTGTCTTATAACTTAACGAAGAAACCATTGACTGATTTAGTCCCAAAGAAGGAAAATGTCTCTGAGTATTAATAGGTTTTCTATTTATTATACAAAACATAAATAATGCAAAAAACCATTCAGATCCCTTTTCATGTTTTAGAAGAGCTACATGCTTTTTTTTCCAAAATTGTGAAGTGTTAACTAATCAATGCCTCAATCATATAAATATACTTAAAGAATACTACAGAAAGCTACTATATGATCTATTCCTACACTGATCTTCCTGTGATATATGTAACATGTAGGAAATGTATGTAAATAAACGCAGCTGTACTCATCCTCATAATATTTCAGTGAAGCAGTTGATTATTTGCCTTTAGTTTTGGTCCAATATCTCTATGCACTGAATTAAAATGAAGCATTGCAAAATTTTGACGTAGTTTGTCTATCTCAAATACTGCATGAGTTTGTCAATTAAGAAAAAATTCTGAACTTTTTAAAAGGATTTGCAAATATTTTAAGTTGCCAAAGCATAGGTAATTAAAAGAAAAAAAAAGTATTTTGCAGGAATCAATACTTTATAAATGTTGATGCATCTTCCAGGTGATACATAGACTATTTAGCTGTAAATATTTTGGGCTAGCTAGGATTATTTCAACTCATACCACCCAGGAGATTGATAAAAAGCATACTGAATAAATTACATTAATTAAATGTGTCAACTGTGCTCACTGCAAAACCACAGGTCTTGTCCTTAGGACAAGAAAGAGTCTTTAAAAATCTAAACTCAAGTAATTTATCGTTATCTTGTAAAACTGAAATAAAGGTAGCAAATACTAGTATATTCTCTAGTAATATGGGATTTACATAGACTATTCTGGATTTGGGATCATTAAAACACATGAGAGTTTAAAAAAACATTAAGGAACATCAAATAATACTGTACAATTATACTACTATGTAACAGTATGTATAAACACTTGGCAGTAAAGCTTGAGTAGAGAGTGATTTACAATGAGTTGCTAACATTTGATATAGAAAGTTTGCAGTTGCAGAGTGTCTTCTCTTGTGTCATTCTTCCATTGCACTGTAAATGGGCATTTCAAACTAGGCAGGATCTCTTTACCCTCCTTAGTGCTTTTTGCTTTCCCAGTCACTCCTCACTCACTTGTTTCTCTCAGAAAGCTTGCTGTTGATCATGGCAGACAGATCTCTACGGCTGCAAGCCTCAATCTTATTGGTGAATGTCTTCGTGCCTTATGATTTTGTAAATTACCCAGTAAAAAATGTTGAAAATTAGAAAGGCTAAAGGGAAACAAGCTCTGGAAATTGTGTCTATCTTCTTGGCTCGGTCAATGAATACCTTTCTCATCTCATCAGGGCTTTTAGGTGCAGCTTGAGCAGGATTATTTGGCCCCTTCTGTGCCACTCCATCTTTTGCTTGCAGACATGGCCCCACTCCATACGCTGTAAAACTGAACTGACTTTCCTGTGCATCGTCATCCTGTTGCATGAAAAAAAAAACAAAACCCAAAAAAAAAAACCAAAAAAAACACAAGATTTTACAGAAATTTTACCAGTTACTAAATATCATTTACTACATCTTTAGCTCAGTGACATGTTTGAATCCACTGTTTAAGTGGTTGAAATTTCAGCCCAAAGTTCATGTCAAAATATTGTAGCAGCTCTAATGAGTTTTTCTACTTGTTTCACTTCGTAATCTATTTAGAGAAAAAAGAAAGATTAGTAAATGAATTTACTGGCTTAGGAAACTAGTGATAATCAGACACACATCTGATTTGTTTTTATTTTCTACATTTATGGTAAAAGCCTGCAATCTTCAACTGGGAAGACTTCAGGGTTCTTCAGACAGCAGCCCTTAACTCTATGTTGCTTAAAAGGGTGGGATGGCTTCTTGTGATACCTATCGCACAAGCAGTAACAGTGTTCATTAGTGAGAATTCTGCCTATTTCATATTTGTGTTTTGTTATTTCTGCTGTTCCCTGTATGTCAGATAAAGTGAATAGTATGTAAAGTATCTTAGTTTGACATAGAAATAATATAAAATATTTAAAATAAAGTTAGTATCTTAAAAATATATAAAAATAAATTTTAAAATAAAATAAATGAAAGCTGAAGGCCAGAATTTTGATTTGACAATTAAGGTGAAAACTGTCAAAAACATTCTGAATTCAGGAGCTGTGAGTGAAAGAGGTTTAAAATCACAAGATACAAACCCAAATGTAAATGATCTTGAAGACATACATATTTTCACAGCATAAATATCTGGTACGTAGCTTCTGTCTGGAAACGCATTTTGTACATCTCTTTACCCTGTTATAAATATTCTCTATAAAGCAGGCACAAATACGGAGAAGCAAATAATACCTGGACTGCGAAGCCAGCACCAAATTTTGTTTTGAAATACATTTCAACATCAATTTCTAGTGTGTATGCTACTCAAAGATAGTTCTATGATTTTGATGGCATTCGCAATTAAAAAAAAATCATTTCCTATTTTTTATGTCTAATTATCCTACTTGTTTTAACATTCTAGAATTCTGTAAATCATGACAAAATATAACAGATTATTTCTTAAAAGAATTCTTTAAAATTTTTTTTTTAACATTTTATTTCTTTTTTGGAAATCCACTTCTGTAACTATTCAAATAAGGGGCAGAAGCAGTCAGTTTTTTCTGATGAGAAAGAAATTTGATATTTTGAAACTCTACTTAACAGAAAATGATATAAACTTTACATTTACCACAGTAAATAAAGTAATTAGTGTTCTGGTTCAATAGTTCTGAAGCCTTTCTGTTTCATGTAAAACTCTTTGTTTTATTTTTTGAGCTAACTTCCCACTTATCATTGTTTAAATCTCAACTTCAAAATTCTCAATTTTGAAAATGTCAATGCATTTGAAAGTGTTTTTGAATCAATGATTCTGAACATATTAAAGTTTTGATTATACAGTACTTGTTAAGGAAAAGATTTCTTCATTTAAGAAACTATCAATTAACTTTGTTAGCAATATTAGTTGAATCAGTTATTGGCAAATGAATGTATATAAATTAGTATTATAAATTAGTAAATAGAAGTGAACTAGCTGGGCAACAGCATGAACATTCAGCATGGCTGAATCACCCAACTGTTGTAGTTGTAATCTAATTACAATACTTTTTCATATATGTAAACTGAATAAACTGATAGACAACTACAATTCACTGAAACTGCTATGCTTTGAATCTCTATCATATTTCTTATATAAAAACACTAACAACAAAAATAAAGGAAAATTAACATGAAAGCAAAGGGTGAAGAAAAAAAATCGTTGATTTACTTTCATATGGAGATGAATAACAGAAATACAAAATGTTAGGATGAATTTTGATGACGTGATAAAACAAACTACATCAGTGTTCCTCTCCTGTCAGAAAAGGTGTCATGGTTTTGTTGTGTAGGGCTCCACACAGCAGACTTCTATCTGCAATGCTTGCCCACAGTATGACATGATCCATCTGTGAACAGGGCAAATTTCATTTTCTGGTAGTCCATTGTATGTTGGGGTCTCTTTAGCATGATACTACTGCTTCCAAACTTTTTACCTTCAGGCCAGTCCGTCATCACTTTAGGATTCCTGGGCAGCTGAGATTCCCCTTTCAATCGCCTGGCTTGTCTCTGCTGCAGGTGCCATCTCATCACAGCGTTAGAGTAAGGCCTTCAGCTTTCAGATGCTCGCTCTCATTTCATTTATTAGCTCCAATTCTAATTTTATTGTATTATATTGTATTATAGTGCGTTATCTTGCATTCCGATATCTTATTTAGTAGATAAGTTTGTTTCTGCTCAGATCGTTAACCACTGTTTTGATTTTAGACCCATTTCCTATTTTTCCCCTTTTCCCTTTCCTGGGTTGGATCCAAGGGTTCCCCTGCCTCGCTAGTCACAGAATCAGGCAAAACCAGTCCCTAAACCACTGACAATAGGAAATAATATTTTAAGAGTAGTTGTATTCCAGAAGTGTTGTACTTATGTATTCCAGTTAAAAGGAGTTACAAATATGGTAGATGTGAGAATTTATACTGTACTTGCTATTTCAGCAACTTTGCACATATGAAAATCTGTAAATCGGGGTTTAAATCTTCTCATGGTTCTCCAGAAGATAATGTTTATGATTGCATCAGCTCAAAATGATTATAAAGTAATACTGCTGTGTAGCAGCTTTCAGTTGGTTGTGTTTTCTGGATGAGGCACTCTGCTATGACTCTACTGTCTCTGTTCTATGTCTACCTGAGTTAAGCAATCTTCCCAAAATAGTTTTAAAGGCCAAGCTCCTGCTTATTTTTCACTTGCAGACATTCTTTACTTAATCTACAAGCAGGATGATCAGTAGTGCTCTTTTCTGTTGAGCAGTTGATGTGAATATCCTTCTAGAGGTCTAGTCCAGTGATGCTGGATGGATAGTGTCTCCACAATGGCAGGTAGAGTGGTTGGAGCCTGCCAAGTCAGACTCAAGTGCTAGGGACATAATGCATACACAGGAAAGGGCACTTTGCAGAGCACTGGGTATCACCATAATTATTTTCTGGGGTACCAGATGCAATATTTGTAGTTCTGGAAGTTTTGTAGCAGGGTCATAGTGTATAAAAAGCATTAATTTGGCAACACATTCATATCTAAGGGTGCTCCTGTAAAGCAGGAAAGATGCAGTTGCTATTATTGTTGATAATAACATTTGAGTGCTTTTTTGAGGGCATTAATATAAAATGACAGCAGTACTCCATGTGCTTTTATAAATTGACTTGGCTACAGTCCTTCTTTTTGACTAGAAATATTTCTGATAATCCATGTGTTGGTCACAGCTGTCACAGCTGTTAAAGTCGTCTAATGGATACCCTGTACATTTTAGTGGAATATCTGGACAGGGGATCTTCTTGGAGGAGTCCATTGCATACTGGGTGATTTTTTCTTTCAAAACGTATTAATGAAGTTCGTGTGTGTGTGTGTGTGTGTGTGTGTGTGTTCATTTTAGGGCATCACTGTTAAAAAAAAAAAAAAAAAAAGGTTTCCTTTCTTATTTTAGATAAAACTTCTGAATTTTTAATGCAAATGAACTTCATTAAAGCTTTGGTATGAATGTGCTTTTCACAAATACTCCTTTGGTACTATTAGTTTGAAAGTTATTCTGTGTATGGCTACATGTAAATATGTTATTAACTCTATTAAAATCAAAGAACGATAATTTTAGATAAAGTTTTTTATTTAAAAAGTAGAATTTTTTCAAGGCCCAAGGAAATCCTAATTATTATGCTCAGCTATAAAGTATTAGAAAGCTTTCCGTTTCTGTGGCCGTGTGTGATTATGCTCTTTCTCTTCGTGTATTTAATAATACACATCTCTTGAGGAATATTATGTATAAATCCTAAAAATATCTGTGTGGCCTTTTGACTGTAAGTTTTGGTAAGAGTTTGAGTATTTATTTGAAGCTGTGGCTTTGGTTATTTGAACACTATTTTTTACTACTATACTGTTCTGAACTGTAAACAGCTTGATTTTAAACACTAATCTGGTACCAGTTGATTTCCTCTTGAACTGATGTCACTGTTTCTTTGAAATTGCAGAAAACAAAATTTTAATATCATGTTTTAATCCTGATTTAAACAGATCAAAATAGATTACAAAATTGATGAGATAGATACCTTTCTTAACATTTCACGTCATCACATACAGGTAGCAATGAATGGAATCCACATGGAAAGACATTATTTCAGACAAAAGGACAGGGCCTCTGTTAATGATTGGATATCACATTTTGACAAATGGGACATCTTCTTCATAGTTTACCCTTAAATTTGTACTGTAGATTTGAGGCAAAGTCCCGTCTATAGGTCCTGCACATCTCAAGCCATTGCTATGCTGTAATGATTCATTGATTTCATTTCCATCAAGAACTCCCTCAAAATACTTTCATCAAAATGGATGGGTTGACCAAAAAGAAAACAAAAGAAAAGAGGTGTGATTACCATTAAAGACAACCTAGTTTGCATGTCTATTTTCCTCACTAAAGATACTTGTGATCTTTAGATTTTGGAAAATAGAATTCAAAGATTGATTGTTCTTGAAAACTAAATATCTTATTTTAAAAGCTAATCTAAAATCAGTGGTATTCAGCACAGGAACACAGTTCATGCTATTTTTCCCCATACAGAAAAACACAACTAAGAAAAAGTGCTGATCATAGGTATGTTTTGGTTGTCCTATATCGTTCTTCTAATTCTGACATATTTGTTTTGTTTCTCAAGACCTAAAGGAGAGTATATTTAAATAAATAATTCATATTCATTCATTCTGAAGGTGTTTCCATCACATCAGCAATATAATATTTGTTAAACTTACATTCATTGACTAGATTTACTTCCCAGACAGAAATAAAGCACAATAGATCAGATGCTAACAAATGAAGTTTTAAATTGGAAGCAAAAATTTACATATTCATAAGATTTTGCCATTTCAGTAATTATGAAGAAACAAGAAAATAATCTCTTATTGTGATGCTTACTGAGAAAAAAAGCAATGGATAGATTGCATATTATGTTCCAATAACCATTGTTTTTTTTTTGTTTGTTTGTTTTTTGTTTTTTTTGTGAGTGTATTTATAACAAAATCCCAGATTTCTTTAAACTACCTACAAGTTTTTGTCACTTCTGTAAGAATTGTATTGGGCTTCTAAAAAGCAATATGTTATTTGGAAACATTAAGTGAGGTCCATAGCTACAACAATAAAAGTGGTAGCCAGAGGGTGCAGTTATACCTAAGAATCATCTTTGATGTTGCAGCTACTGCTGCCCAGGAAGAGAGGCAGCAAATATTGTATTAAGATAGGTAAGAAGGAAGCAGTGACTTTCGGTAAGAAAACTAAAATATCATAATGGCAAAGACAAATGAACTTTAGATGCCAAAACCTCTTGATACAGCTCTGTACCTTGTACTTTGTACAATTTTATAATTTTTTTTTTAAATTCAATTATTTTTCTCTGAGCTTGATCATTTAGTTTTTAGCAGTATTTATACGTCCTATGTTTTTAATCAGTATTGACAAAGAATAACCAATTATTTTGATTAGATTTATGGAAGAGATCAAGCTTGGAGAATAAAGCAAATCTATTTGAGGATATGTTTGGAACAAAGATTTAATCCAACAATTTGAACAAAGAGTCCAAAAAATATGGAGGGGGATGATCAGTAGGAGAATGCACAAGGTACTACATTTAGCACAGAATAATCAACTTCATGAAAGAAAATGGTTGTGCAGTAGTTCTGGAAAAAGTCCTGAAGTTTATGAAAGATCACAATCTTGATATGGATGAATCTTATGCGGTTGTTAAAAATGCAAATAGCAAACTGTTTTAGATAATCATGTGTATATAACTTGCAGGATTTGGTCCTTTGGCTGTTGGCAGCTCTTACTGGCTACTCCTAATGTTGAAAATATGATTTTTAGGAACTATGTGGCTTACAGAATTTCCAGGGAAGGAGAATGACAATAAGCAAAAGTGTGGGAAACGTGCCCTGAGGGAAAAGATTGTACAAACTAGTCCAGCAAAACACTTAATTCCATTAAAAACAGACTAAAAGTACAGTCACATTAAATATCACTCAACAAAGTTGTTTATATTTGACATGGGTCACATTTGTCATGGCCCACCTGCCCCCTCTTGGGGGGCCTCCAGAAAACTTGGAAAGGAACCTCTTGCAATGTAAGGAGTAAATTGAGGTTAGTCTGCAGAAATTAAAAATGCCTGAACTTGTCATGTTGCTACAGTCAGACTTTCATCCACACTACAGGTATTCACTGAACGTAGTAGTAGGCAGTAGGCACTTTTGCATGCTGTTGTAAAACACTTTGATTATTACAAATTTAAACTTGTAACATTAGCTGCTTGACTTTACACGTTACCAGTGACTTCCCTTAATAGTAGTTTAGATAGCTTCTGCCATCAAATAAATATAAGTAGCCACTACTCTATTAAAGCTCTTTGCTAACTGTATGAACAATTTACACTAAATTGACATATGTGAAAACACTCTTCTCAGCCCCTTAAAAAATGTATATCCCACAAATAAAATCAATTCAAAAATTAATGTTCATGTTTAAAATACATGAAATACAGCTGTTAAATCTAGAGTGAAATAAGGAACAATCTTAATGCTGTACAAAGTGCTGCAAGTAACAGTCATGTTGATCCACTGAAGTATAATCTGACTCTTCTAACAGAGAGAAATTCGTGTCTGTGCAGATGGCTCCCACATGGCCCATGCCTCATTTAAAGCCCTCTTAATCCTCCTTTTGAGAATTCAAGTTGGATTTATGCAGCACGTAGTCCTTGTAGTGACCCTCAGCCTAGAGTGGATTTTGTTCTGTGCTGCCATTTTATTTATATTGCCACTTTAAGCAGCAGTGTGTTTACCAAACTGAGCCCATCTTCCAGCATAATCAGTCCATTAGACTCCCTTCCCAGCTGTGAGTACTATTAGCTTTACCTTGTTCTTCTTCCTCTTCCGTCGGAATCGTAGGAGTTCTTTATGCTGCCTTGACACAAAATTTACAGCTGCATATTCCAAAAGTGCAGAAAATACAAAGAGCAGACACACAGCCATCCAGATGTCAATTGCTTTGACATATGACACCTAAGAAGAAAATAGAGCAGAAGACTGAATATTTTCAAAGCACAGATGTAATGTTTAGCATTTCATGTCAGGAAGAAGCTCGTTAATATCTCCAAACCTAGCACTCATTTGTGAAACAAATTTTCACATGGAAGTTCTATAATAAGAGAGAAAACAGTGGAATACTTATATTTTAATGATTATTTTTTAAGTGTCGTCTTTCACAGATGTTCACTATTTTTCACCCTAACAATTTCTCTTAATGTACTGTATATTTTATCATAAACAAAATAATCCACAAGGATCACATGTTCGTCCTCCATTTCTCCCAATGAGGTCTGTGAATGATGCTAAGAATTGCTGTTATACTTATTTAAAGTTCCCAGACTAGAAATTAGGTGAAGTGAGATGCAAAATTCTGATACGTTCATTTTATGTTCATTTTTTCTGCTAATACAGGCAGAGTAAATTAAAGATATAGATTTAAATTCAGTATAAGTACTGAAAATGAGTTACAGAACTGACGAACTCACTGCAGTCCTTCATTGCCAAGCTCAGCTGCAGGACATAATCTGAACTGGGAATATGGAACACTCTCTGTGTAGAGATTTACAAGAGTTTTATCATTTAAGACAGCAGAGCTAGCATCAGGCCTCAAGAATGTGACAAATACATCTGCATCTCCCTTTGGTAACCCCTTACGTTCTTGCTTTTCAGGGTTTTTAATGTGTTTCAGTTTCTCATCTGTTAATGCTACGCTCAGGCATATTGTGATCCATATACACAATGTACAAAGCACATTCACCTCTGTTAGGGTTTTTTACTTTACCTAGAAAAAATGTAATCAGCAAACTTAAAAAATCCATGTTAAAACTCATACAGAAGTGGAATTTGTTTTTATTGCATACATTTTTTCCCACTAACTGCAATGAAGATGGTCGAGGAATAACAACTGAAAGGAAAAAGTTTAAAGCAATTCCCTTAAGAAATTCAGTTATATTTGATAGTACATTATTAGATATTGGGATCCAGAAAAGGACAAGCTTTTGATATCAATTGATATAAAGCAGCACACATTTGGTACAGAAAAACATTGTTTTCATCGCTTGTTGGGATATGTTGTTTAGCATGCTGTGGGATTAATATTTCAAAGCAATTTTTTCCTTCAAAATAATAAGTGATATTAATTAAAACGTGTAAGATTGACTTAAGGACTTTATTTGCCACATAATGTTTTTATTTTGTATTAATGCAGTACACACAGAAGAAATTCCACCTACCTTTGGAAGTGATGCTCGTGAACCTGAGCTTTGTGTTGTCATGGTCAGTACAGTTGTTATGCCTAAAGCCACTCTGGCTGGAGCTGCATCCATATTGATCCAAAATGACACCCAAGAGAGAATCACGATCAAGAGACTTGGTATGTACATCTGGATGAGATAGTAACCCATCTGTCTCTCGAGGTGAAATCGGACTTCTATACACGTAAATTTTCCTTTTTATAACAAAGAATAAATATTCAATAGAAATATATTGTTACCTAAAGAGTGTATACTGCATCAAATACATTTCTTCTCCAATGAATAGTGAATGTTTTAATTTCCCTTCTGTGACTTTTAATATGTGCATTATACCATTTCAAAAGGATTAACTGCTGGAAAGAAAGTGGTCTGAATAACTGCAAATTTAAAATTCAATAAGCTCTGGAACACTTATTTCCTTATATATGCAAAGAATCACATTATGTTTTGGTCCAATTTTATGCTTAAACAATTTTTTCTTTATTCCAATGAATTGGAAGAAAATGTAGTGACAACAGTGAAGGTGCTAGGTCATCAACAAGAGATCCCGTAAAGTACTTCCCTTCACCTCCATTCAAATTGTTTTGACTTAAATCAGAAATAGAAGACTTGCAAATGGGCTACTCCAGGAAACTGAGTGGCCTCATTTTTCTGAATACCGAGCATCAAGCAACTTCTACTGATGTAACTGAGCTAGAAAAAAAAAATCTACTGTCTGCTCATAGCAGTGCCAAAACATGCATAAGCAGAGTTTTCTCTGATCAAGATATTTTACTCTGTAAATTGTATATTTTTTTTCAGTGATCTTGACCTAATCTCATTATATTTTCTAATTCTACTCAATGTTTACATTAATCAGACATAAATACTGTTGAAGGTAATGCTCTGACAATAAATACTGTATATATGACAGAGTTTATCATAGCAAGAAATATACATTTGACAGATTTCTTATCTATTTCAATAAGAGCATTTCGTAATTCCAAGTTTAACATGGAAAGACATTTAGTTATTTATTTCTTAATTGATAGGAGGATTTTCTTTTTTGCTATGCTTTCGAGTAGTTTTTGATAGCACTTTCCTAATCCAGCTTTATCTGTTTTATAAGAAATGGTTCCATTAACAGTGCTTTAATATTTATCATACTAATGACATTTATGCATCAGATTTATGAATGATTCAGAGAATAAGCTTATTCTTTACTCGGTATACTATATGTTATGCTCTAACATTAAGCATTCAGAAATGAATACTTGATAAAGTCAAACTGAAATGTTTTAATTCCAAGCATAACTAGTGCTTCAAATTATATTCTGAACTTTGTTGTTTTCACAGTACTTCTTCTAACATGCCCTTAGTTATTTCTACAGTGCTATACTAAATTCCATTGTATGAAACCTTTATTCTGCCAAAGAAAGAAAAAAGAAAATCAACAACCCACCATATTTACAAAAGCAGTAGCTATAAAATGTTAAATGCACAAGTTGTAAATCTAACTCCACTGAAAGCGTGACTTAATATTCCTGCCTTCCTCTGAGGCCCAGTGATTTTCTGCACCTGCCAGTCCATGTTAGGAGCTGATGGAATTACATTGACTTTGGGATTTCCCCCTCAGCTGTAGTGTGCTTCCCAGCCAAGACTTCTGTGTTCCTCCTCTCCTCTGTTCCCATGTAGTGCTGAAGAATTAACTTAATAGGAGGCAACTTCCCAGGAAGACCGGTGGCTACCCAAATAGAAACCCTTCTGTTTCTGCACAGATTACTGGGCTTTCTCATCCATGAGAGACATCAGAGGACAAATGCAGCAGACAGAAGTCAGCAGAGACTATCTCAGCAGAGACCATTTGCAGCAGTTCTTGGTCTAAGCTTGGAAAGGGTATTGTTAGTTTTTGCCCTTCCTGGCTGAGATCAGAACCACCTGCATAAACTTGGCTGATGAAGCAGAATGGAAATACAGCATTTGCACTAACAGATGTGAGCTTCAGCTAGGAGGCAGCCAGCAGAGGCTGTGCTGTTTTTTATAGCTGAAGCCATCATCTAGCTGTGAGATCCTGTTCTTTTCTTGTCCCTCGTCCCTTTGCCTCCTGCACCTTAAATATTTACAGACATTGATCAGATCCCCGCTCAATTCAGGTTCTCACTAAAGCAACCTGTTCAGCATGCTGTCATTCTGCCAGTAAAGTATTAGTAATACTAATACTTGTATTAGTATGAAACTTCTTATGTTCCAGTTTCAACCCCAAAAGGTTGCAGATCCATGGGTTATAAATCACTACTACAATCTCAGAAAGAGTGTCTTAGGTGATTCTCAAGCAACATGAGGGTTTTAGTTCTTGTTGACAGAGGAAAGCATCAAAGCTTGTTTCTCCTTCTTTAGGCACTGTCATGTTAGTAGCAAAACGGCCCAATGTAAGACATTGTCAGTAGTAGCTGGGACCTAGAAGAAGCACAGTTTGCAGGTTGTTAAGCGATTTATTTGGCTTTAAGAGGAAAGAAAGAAGACCATGGGAAAAAATGTGTATGGACTACATACATTAAGAAGTTGAATAGGTTGAATGGGGAAGATGAAGTTAAAGAATTGGGCAGGTCACCAAGATTGCAGATTTACCAAATTACAGATACAGAGACATCAGAAATGGTCCCTTACAGAATCTATCAGTTCTGCTAGTGAGCAATAGCCATGTCTGCGCAGTTTCCAGGATTGCTACAAACAACATTTAGAGTGAAAAAAAACCCAAACCATTCTATTGACAACACAGCTCTGAATATTTTTAATCAGCATTATGATTAGTATAGTACCCGTGGTAATGGAATTATTCAAATTTCATTTGTGCTTGCTAGTCAATGTTCATTATGTATGAATCCGCCTATGTATGTTGGTCTGTGCAGCTACCAGTAGTTGCAGTTGAAAACTGGGTGTTCCATGAAAGCCCAGCATGCATGTGACACAGTCAGGGTAAAGCAGGACTATCCTTGTAATGTGAGAAGTCACATATGACTTTTCTGGTTACTAGGATTTCACTTCATTTTCTAAATTTGTCACTGTAGACATGCCAGAGGATGTAAAAACAGATAAAAATGATCATAAATATCACTGCATCAATTTAAACACAAGACCTCATGAGCCATTATGCTGTGCTGTTGCTGAAACACTTCCATCCCTATATTTGAAGAACTTTATATATGCTATTTTTAAGCTACAGTTACAGCAATCCATTCTCAATTGGACATGAAACTCTAATGAGTGCATGCACTGATTAGCTCTTACATACTGTCCTGAAGCTTCAAGTTAATTTGTTTCACAGGAAGATTTTTAAAAATTTATTTCTGTTCTACAGAATGTCTCTCAAAAGCTTTCCATCCTGTGATGCACCTAAACTTAATCAAGAAACTGATATTTGGTCACTTGAAATGAATTATATGGGAGTTTTTTCTGGAGTATTCTAAAAGGGTATCTGTCTACAGGATATGTGTTCAACCTTCTAACCTTTTGTTGTTGTTGCTATCTTTCACTTATGTGTTAGTAAACAACAGTAAAAAAAATAAAAGATGTTTTGCTACATATACACATTAATTATATATTTTATCCGTGGCTCAAGCCAAAGGTTAGAGACTCATGGTTTCAGAGAACACTTCGAATGTTGGTATTTCTATCCATTCTAAATAGAAACCATTAGAGAACCTTCAGTTCTCTACCCCTAGGGTATCAACGCAGCTGTGATACATTCAGTGTTGAAAAGCACTTTTATTTTATTTTCACTGCAACAGGACATTCTTTATAAATGCTGCCTGTTGAATTTTCCCTCCTCTGTCAATTCAGCAGAATCCAAATAAACTAGTTTGAAACTTAAATTTCAAGTTATGTTTAACATATCGATAATCACACTGGAGAGCAGACTTTAAGAGAGAATGGATAAATGAAAGAATCTTAATTGTGTGCTTTGTTTGTTTTTAACTTGAGAAGATGGAAGCTGTGCACTCTTAGCATTTGCTATACATATTTTTGGAGGATTATTATGCTTGTGATCATTCAATTTTCAAGGCAGTTTTGTTTACAATTAGAAACAAAATGACTGAATTAGTATTGATAAAACTTTGTTTGTCCCAGTACCCTAGAGACATAAGCTAAACATAACATCACAGTTCTACAAAGACCTCAACTCAGGAAGGCCGTATCTAGTTTGGACAGTCATCTATTGTACAATAAGGATACTTTCAGCTGGTCTGCATTTTTCCATTGCCATTAAGAAATAGGGCAGGGATAGCTGGCTTGGAAGAAGTAACAGGCTTTTCCTGATGTAGCCAGGCAGGGCTTAGTGCACAGCATATGGACTTCTTGGTCTTGGCAGTGCTTCATATCCTGAAGTGTATATGTAGTCATGGCATTCACTAAAAAAAAGAAACTCCTGACTAAATTGCTTCTTTATTATTTCAAATATGTATTTTCTTAAGCTTACTGAAATAGAAGTTTTCTCAGCTGCGAGGTGTTTTTCATTGTGTCAATTATTTAAGACAATCTTGTCCTGAAAAATGCATCTGTATGTTTCAATCGTCTTGCGAGTTCACTGAGAATATTAAACAAATAAATAAATCTCTCCAAAATAACAATAAATGTAAAATGATGGCTTTTTGGTTTTAATCACTAATATGCTTTCCTACCTGTATTGTAATGCTTGGTGCAGTAACACAAATCCTTTTCTTCTTTCAACAGAAACTGTGGCAGAGTGAGTCCTTCTGCTACTTGAACTGCTCCTTTTTCTTGCCATTCAAAAATGAGATCATTCATTGTGTATCCAACTAAAAAAATATATATATAAACTTTAAGTCAGGGACATACCAAATAGTGATGACTTCAGCAAATGCCATTAAAGTAGAAAATTCACCAGATCTCTTTGGGCTAGTTAACAAAAACACATTATTTACCATTCTAAGCCACACTGAGGTAGGAAAAAAAGAAGGCTTTCTTTTTTGAAATCTTAATAGTTATGTAGCATCAAAATCAGCTATGTTTGGCTCATTTTTATGTATTTATGCTCTCTTGCACCATCATATCTCCCTCTCATTCTATATGGAGTGAAATGTTAGACGTCAAAGTTATATTTATGGGCTTATGTCAATTTATATCAATTTAGATACAAATTCTTGAAAGGAAGTAATGAAAATTTATCCAGCAGTGAGGTATTAGTTGAACTGAAAAAATACTTTTCTCTGAATCTGGTGGAAAACATGGAAAAGCAATTGTTCATAATCTCATGTGAGCTGACTGTGAAGAACGAACTGGCACTCCATATTCAGATTCCGGTATTTACTCTTACCTCATGGATGTATGATTAAATAAAACCTTAACATTTCTAGCTGAAGTGCTAATCAAGGGGAAGACCTTGCAAAGAGCAAATAGTTTTTCATTGTATTTCTATCTCTCAGCTGAATATGTGCGTGAACTTTCAATGGGGAAAAGCTGTTCTACATCCTCTGTATATGTCAGAAAATATATCTTTGGAATTCTATTCCAAAGTTTTTCTGGATAAATTGTCTGTAACAACAGAAAAAAAAATAAATTGCTTCCTATTCACATTAAGGTTTCATTTAGACTTTCTCAGGACATAATTAATTCAGACAATGTGAGATTTTAAGACTGAAATCTAAAACTATTGTTGAAATAGTTTGACCCACAAGGATACACTTGACTCATATATAATAGATTGAAGCATGAGGAAAAGAATGGAGTAATTTTTACATCTAAATTATAAAGTTTTCATCCATTTAGTTTCTTTGCAATGTTTCTTTTCTGCTTTACTCCAAAGCCAATTAGCTGTTAAGAATAACCTGCAGATAACTGGAAATATCTTTTAACATTTCAGTAACAATTTAGTGTTTAAATATCGTGTTCAGAAAATACGGAAATTTTGAGTTCTAGTGAGGGAAATAAACTCTGTTATGCAGACGTCAGTCTTTCTCCCGTTATGTTCAGTGACTTCATTACTCTTTGAATACATCTACAAATACTATTCAGACATACTGTTTTGATATACTGGCCTCAAACCTGAAACACACTTCATCCTTTCTAATCTGTCTTTGTTGAATGTATCTGCACATCAAGAATCAGTGACCTTCAGATTTGTTCTGTTTCTTTTGGAGAGTTCCCTTAATATTAAGGTTTTTGCAAGCACTTAGGATGATACTGGTTTATCTTCTTTAGTATTTTGTTGGGACTAGATGAAAATAATAAAAACAAACCCATATCCTTTTAAATAAGTGCTTCAGTAAGATCAGATATTACACAAGACATTACATGCTTGTATTAAATGTACTTTTTTCATCTATACTTGCATGCACAACAGTATAAACACAGATTTAAAGTTTCATATCAAATGTCATAAAGTAGAAAAATTCAAAAATATAGCTCTTACCAAACTTTGCATGTATTCAGACAAAAAGTAGTTGTGTGTAAAGATTAGCATTTGAACCATGGAGATTATGGCCAGAAGTGATATCCCCTGAGTAAAACTCATTGAACTGACAAGAAACAACTGCTGCGTCAAAATGTATTTCACTAAATCAAATTCATTCATCTCTAATGCATTTTTAACTTTGAATGTCTACTCTGTCCACTAATTCTTCAATAGTGTAATATATGAACAACAGTAACTATATACAAAGTACTGATATAACAGTTTATTTTTACTGTCTACATTTTAAATACCCAAATAGAGCTTTAACATTCAATACAGTAATTCTAGTTTTCTAAGACCATACTGGTGCAGTGAATGCGTCCTAAAACACAGAAGAGCTTAATGGAGAAACAGTTTTATGTTATTCCAAATAAAATAAAATAAAGTGTATAATGTATACCTTACTTCTATTAGATATATCAAATTAGTCTCTATTAAATTTGTGTCCCTTTATTCAATGTGAAATACAAATAAACCAAACAAATGTGCCCAATGAATTAGTGAAATCTACAGTCAAATTAATTTTGAATATTGAACTACTTGATAACACTAATTTGTCTCCGGATTTTCTTTACTGAGCAGTGTTATCTATCCTTGATTTTCTAAATGAAAATATGCTATTGTTTGATGCAGTTCCAAACAATTTGATGAATACATTCTCTTTTCCACCTACCACATCATTCTTTCATCTCTGCATGAAAGACAGCAAGAAAAACTACAGTGGAAAATATCTTGTTATTTGTAGATATGAAACAAAATCAGAGAATTTTTAAGAAAAAAGTGCAAGAACAAACTGCAACTCCCTGAATATTCCATGCAAAAAAGAGCTAAATCCCATGTTATTCTGCATTAGAGTATTTTTTTTCAAGAGTAACCGGAATGCTCATAGAGCTAAATGAGCTTCTTTGGTATCTCAAAACAGAAAAATATTTTTGTTTCTTAACTGCTTTCATGAAGAAGATCAGCTGCATAGCACAGTAGTTAACACTTAGTGCTGGTGGGTATAGCTGTGTGCATGGGGCATGATGGGGAATAGAAGAACATCTATGAAAGTGTTTTTTAAAATGCAGACTAGTAGTTTTTATACTGTGCTTTAAATACAATAACAATTTAAGTGCATGACATTATATAAATAAGAAGCCTAAAGATCAGATATGGAGCATGTTAGTTTTGGGAACTCTTTTGAATATGTAATTTATGTTTCCTATTGAAGTGGCGCAGCACCATGAAGACATCATGGCATATTTTGAAGTTACCACGAGGTTCAATCTCAGCAATAATGCCAAGTAGAGACTTATGGTCTTGATATGAATAAGGCACTAAAGTATTTAGTAACATCAAATGCAGTGGGTTGCATGCACAGCAAGTCACAGAAACATAGGAAGCTTTGGTAAGGAAAATTTTGGAGTCTGAAGGTCAAAATGTTATTTTTTTTAGAGACAGGATCCTAGAATTGCCAGTCATAAATGTTTACAATATTGAAATTATGTGGATAAATTTAAAATCCTGAAGCCATCACTTGAGTTCAGTGGGGCTATATATATCATTCATGCATATGTATGTGGCAAACTGAGGCCTACATTTGCAAAATGGAAATTTGATTAGATACTGTAACAAAGCAGATCTGCATTTACTTTACTCAGCTGCAGAATAAAATGTACACTCAGCCATCTGCTGCTGAAATAACTCGTACAGGAATAAAAATGAAGGTGAATAAAGTAGTTCACTGCCTGTATAAGATCAGCTACTCCTAGTTGAGCAAAAATGGATGGCTGAAGTGAGTAATGAGCTCTCCTTGTGCTAGGTTTATACAGCACCATCTACACTGATCAAGCTTGTAATTAGAGCTGAGTGTTTCTGAAGCACAACTGCAATTAAAAATAATTGATCTGAATGCAGCTGTATTCAATAGTATAATTCAACAAGACAGATATCTTCTCTGTGTGGTTTTACATTCTGGCTGATACTCTTGCTAGGAGAGGAAAGGGTCCATTAGTTATGCTTTTTGTCTGTGTCTTTTACATGTTCTAAGAGTGAAAAAGTAGGGCACTGTTAGAGGAAGCTCTGTTAGTTTCTACACTTGACATCACTGATGTACAGCTTGTTTCACTTCCTCTCAGTGAGTCTTCTTTCTAGTCTGTAGGATTCTTTTACAAATGGAAGAAATAGCATGTTCAAAAAGTAGGAAACTGCTGTAGTGACTGACCCACAATGTTGATTGAGGCTCTGAATAAGTAGAGTGCATTCACTTGGCAGAATGAAAGTTTGTAAAAGAGAATCAGGTGCTGTGAGAGCAAGTAAGATTTTATTTTCAGGTGTGCCACTTTGGATACAAGGGAAAGGAGGAGAAAATAGACAAGGAAGCCTCTAATGGCAAGTTAATCATAGAATGAACCAGAAATCAACAAACCTATAGAAGTACCTTATTAGTTTCCATGTAAAAAGGCTATGATGTAGCCTTCTATAATTAGAAGCAGTCTGATATAACTGGCACCAGTTTCTTCCTAGATTAACTGCATGTTATCTCCCTTCCCCCTGAAATTAGAATAAACTACTTTGTTTTAATTTGGTAATGCAATCTTCTGTGATGCTAGATGACATAGAAGGGCAATAAGGACTATCATACGAGGTTAAGGAGGATCATTATGATTTTTAGCCTCCTACTGATATATGACTTCACTGGCATGTTAGTAGCATTGCAAATACTGTAACCTCCTCACCCAGCAAATGGAAAGAGGGGCTTTAGAGTTTTTGTTGTTTATGAACATAGCTTGGCAGAAAAAAATCAAAGGTATTTGTTGATATCAGACACTAACCTTAAAGATATCACTTATAGGTTAGGAAGTCTCAAGTTGCTAAAAGTGTATCAGTGTAGGAAAAGGAAGAAAAAAACCCACATTTGTTTGTTGAATAGCAATTCAACAAGAGTGGTTAGATTGCGTTAATACTGACTATGTTAACCCAAAGTCTGAAGTCTTGCACATCTGTAATGAAAAAGCAGATGGTAAATTATTGGTAATTATATGACGTATGCAAACTGCTGAATCACAGCCTGAACCTCTGATTGACCACCTGAGCTGAGCAATGAGTCAGCCCTGGGAGCACAGGTGAAGACAATTCTGTGCTATCAGAAGGGTTGGAGCCTGGCTCCACTTCTCCTAGACCCCATTTAAAAGCTGACTATTAGTAAAGAAGAATCTCTTTTGGAGGTTGCTCCTCTTGAATTTTTTTCAGCAAGCCTAGGACAAGGGTAAGCTTTCTGTCTATTCTTCTGTAGCGTGATAACCTGTTTAGCCTAACTTTCCTGTATATTTCTTAATTATAATATCTGTGTGTTCCTTGATT